TTACAAAAGAAGTTTATTAATAATCCAAATGGCTTGGACAGATGAGATATGCCCTGTGTTCCTTTGGATGAGTCACTGCCAGAAAGGTCTCCAAGGAGGAAGAAATGGAAATGGCCACTCAATGCCCAACCATCTCTTTAGGCTGATCAAGTCCTCAGCTATGCTGAGTTTTGAGGTTAAAAATAAGCTTTATGTTGGTGGCCTGTGTGTTAAGTTATAGGACCTGCAAGCACCTCGCTCGATATTAGAGGAATCTGAAATCCCCAGCTCTTGGAATGCTCCTGGGAATGTCTGTATTGAAAAGGATTCCTCCCTGGTAGAAACATCCTGGGCCCTGACACTGCACTATTGTCACAGCACCAAAAGGGACTAAGCTGAATGCCTTCCAAATTCAGGGTATGGTTCTGATTTGCTTTATCTTTTCTTATGCAGAGGAAAACCAAGCAAATGTTCAGGTGACAGCTGAAACTCTGCCAAAGCTCCCTGAAGAGGTACAAGGTATGAAGGCTGATGGGACTAGGATATTTAGTAAAGCAGGATACAGGAGTGCCAGAGTGAGGAAAGGTCTTCCAGCTGAGAGCAAGGAATGCCCAGATGTAGATACAGTCCTGGCCAGAGCTGGGGTCACACAAACCAGCATCTTAGATTTTTTAGAGCCTTTCAGACTCCTGGACGTTGGAGCAGCCACACAGCATCCCCAAGAAACAGATGACTGTACTGGGCTGGAAGCCCACAGTGCCAGCAGAGCAGGGGGGAGCGGTGTGTCTGCCTTGGAGACTGAAGAAGAAAAGTTACCCAGACCAAATCCTGTTAATGAATTCAGTGCATCACTTGCTCATTGCCAGACGTGTCAGCAGGATGAAGAACATGATGCTCACGGCTTCTGTAAGGGTGCTGTACCCAGACAGAATGACCCTTGTGGGTTGCCCTCAGCAGGGAGCTGCAGGACATTGTCCACAGCCAGTTCTGGAGTTTTCTGTCCAGTTCTGAAAAGCAGCTCCTATCTGGACTTCAGAAATATGCCAGTAGAAAACAGTAGTGCTGCAGTTCATGGAATTATCAATGAACCCCCCCCAGAGTATCTTCCCCAAAACGTGGAACGTCACACTCGTTACGATCACGGAACCGGCTTTGTAGGAAGCCGAAGCTCCACATCTGTGCCGGTAAAACACATCCCAGCAGTGAGGAACAAAGGATTACCTAGTGCTAAAACTGATCCTAGGGAATTCAGTGCTGGGGTAGGTAAATCATACAGCTCTCAGTTTGGAGAGGCTGCTGAAGTCAGGAGAAAAACTGCTGTGGGAGATAATATGGAAGTTTGGAGGCGGCCTGAAGCTCAGCAGGGTGTTGAGCATTGTCGTTCTTCAGTTTTTAATTCTGTTACTTCATTTCCTGAGGAGTTCTCAAAGAAAAAATTTAAAAGAGTCCCATCCGAAGGTGAGAAGTTGAAGAAGGACCAGTGGCAATTCTCTCTCAGTGACCTGTGCAAGGATGGTATAAAAGAAAATAGTCTGTTGATGGAAACAGGCAACACTGCCTCCCAAGGAACTGGACAGAGAGACATGAGCTCTTACAATACCTCCAGTAAAATTCCTCCTCCCACACACCACAGCTGTCTTGACCTTAGCAGCAAGCAAGAAAAAGATCCACCCAAGGCACAACTGCTTGCAAGGGACTCTGAGAGCAATACAACATCAGATGGGCTGGCTGGTGGCGTAGCTGAAGCTGCAGAAGCTGATGGGAGCGACAGTTTGTCCACTGGGAAAGCAACACATTTGTTTTATACACTAAATGAAAATCTACCTCCTGTTTTGCAAAAATCAAGAGAACCTCATCATAATGAGCGTCCTCCTTGTACTGCTAATGAAGTTTCACACAGGGACAAGGCTTGGGATAATCTGTCTGGAAAAGAGACTGTTGGTGCTTCTGGAACAACAGGGGAACAAATCACTGCAGTTTTGCTTCATAAAGACAAATTCAAGTCTTCAGTGAGTTCCAGGACTTTTGATAACCCTATCATGGCACACAGAGTATCCCAAAAGGACATGAAATCTGCAGGAAATTTGGAGAGAGTGGGCACTGGTTTAGAAAATGAACATTGTTACACATGGCATTGTAGTAATCAGGGTATGAAAGACCAGTGTCCAGCTGCCAGTGCTTCCTGCATTTTATCAGGGACTGCATGTGTGGGTGAAGTTTTCCTGAACAGTCATTGTGGTGATGTGGGTAAGAAGATTGAAGAAAATGGTAATTCAGAAGGAGAGTCCTCAGCTGGATATAGTAGTCAAGAGGCAATCATCTTTCCAGAAGCACACTTCCCTTTGGCATGTGGATCTCCTCCTTGTGAAGATGACTGGGGCAACAGAGGTGTGGCTCTGCATGGGAGAAATGACATTCCCACAGGAAAACCCATGTTTTGCTCAGCTTATGCTGCAGAGAGGTCTGCTGCTACCTTGGCAAGAGATGAGATTTCAAATAAGAATATGAAGGTTGTGAAACTGTTTGATGTTTGTGAAGGAGCACAAGGCAGCAAAGCTGTTTGTGACAGAGAGGAGGCAAAGGAACAGACGGGCACGTGTGCTTCCCAGAAAGAGCAATGTGATGGAACAACAACTGGGGCTTCTCCAAACGCCCCTGAAGGCAATCAGAGAAATCAGACCAGTGAACAGTTATTAGTCAGATATTTGGACAAAAACACCTGTGTTCATAGTTTTGGATTTTGCAGCTCTCTGGGCACGCAGGAGCAGGGGGAAGTGCCCTCGCTCCCAGCTGATCCCTCAGACTGCAGCACTTCAGCCTGTGCTGCCAACGGGAACACCCCAGCACAGCGTGCCAGCTGTGACAGACAGCCCACCCTCTGCCCACGGGAGAACCGGGGTCACGGCCCTCACAGGGAGTTGGGGGGCCCAGGGCCAGGCAGGGAGCTGTGCTCAGAGACCTCACCCCCCCAACCAAAGCCTGGCTTACAAACTGCAGACAGCTCTGAGGAGGAGAGTGAATCTGGCTCCAGTGTGGGGGACGAGGTAGTGCTGAAAGCAGGGGATGATTTGCCTCTGTTAATGCACAGATATGCAAGAGAGGACAGGCTGGGAGGAACTCTGCGAGAGAATGTAGTGAATTTGGACTCTGTAATTGGTGTGGGAAATGAGGACTGTTCAGGATACGTGGGCTCCATCAATGATCTGACTGAAGAGAAGACAATCAAACCAAAAGAGCAGGAGGATGACTGTGAAACAGGCAGGGAAGGAACTCCTGAAGAACAGACTGGAAAGGAACTCCTTTGCTCTTCTGAGAGCAAAGCACGTGGCTCACAGCACTGTTGTATCAAACCTGCACAGGACAAAGCAGAGCTGGTGTTTGCAGGAAACAAAACACAGCCATCTTTGCCAAAGATGAAGTCGTTGGTGGAGGACCAGGAAAATACAGTTAGTGCCCAATTTCTACCCATCTCATCAATCCATGGGACATCCCTGTCATATAACCCAGAAAAGACGAATGAGCTTTCAGATCCAGAACACAGAGAAAGTCTGAGCATAAAACCTCTCTTAAGTAACACTTGCCCACAGGAAATGTCTGAGCCTGGTAAAGAAACCAGTGCTCCAAGGGCTGTTGGTCCATCCCACTCTGGAAAGTTTGACATCCAAGAACCTTGCAGTGAGACTCAGGTGGATTCAGAAACACAGTCAGCTCTGAGCTGTGGCATCTCCCTGCCTGAGAAAGAAAAGCTGTGTATGTCACCTGAGAATAAACAAAGAGAGAATTGTGAGCCATCTGCAGCCAAAGTTTTTAGCGAAGATTCTTCAATGACAAAAATTCTTTCTGTAACAATTTCTGTAAAGAGGAAATGCAGCAATACTGAGATTCCCTCTGCAGAGAATGAAATGGCAGCAGGCTCCCTGACTGGGGCAAAGAGCTCAAGGGTTTGTGCCCCCAGCAAAGAAAGCCTGAAAGGTGAGGGGCACTGCACACCAACTGACGTGGACAGGACCTCACCAAAAAGTCCTCCCTGTGAAGAGGAGTTTAAAAATACATCTGAGCCAGAAAATATGAATGTGCTTTCAGATCCAGAACACAGAGAAAGTCTGAGCATAAAACCTCTCTTAAATAACACTTGCCCACAGGAAATGTCTGAGCCTGGTAAAGAAACCAGTGCTCCAAGGGCTGTTGGTCCATCCCACTCTGGAAAGTTTGGCATCCAAGAACCTTGCAGTGAGACTCAGGTGGATTCAGAAACACAGTCAGCTCTGAGCTGTGGCATCTCTCTGCCTGAGAAAGAAAAGCTGTGTATGTCACCTGAGAATAAACAAAGAGAGAATTGTGAGCCATCTGCAGCCAAAGTTTTTAGCGAAGATTCTTCAATGACAAAAATTCTTTCTGTAATAATTTCTGTAAAGAGGAAATGCAGCAATACTGAGATTCCCTCTGCAGAGAATGAAATGGCAGCAGGCTCCCTGACTGGGGCACAGAGCTCAAGGGTTTGTGCCCACAGCAAAGAAAGCCTGAAAGGTGAGGGGCACTGCACACCAACTGACATGGATGGGACCTCACCAAAAAGTCCTCCCTGTGAAGAGGAGTTTAAACATACATGTGTAGAAGAGAAGATGGGAGAAGAAATAGCCCCTAGAAAAAAGTTGCTGAGAAGTCATCCATGGGCCTCGTTAAAAGATTCTAAAGAGTCTGGTGGCAAAATAGTCCCTCTCGGTGCTGAGAACCATGGCAAGGTTTGGGAAGAGATCCCAAGATCCAACCTAAACTGTGTTTCAAAGGAAAGAAGAAGTGATGGAGAGCTCCCAAATGCAGCAGGTACCAGCGTGCTTTCAGCAGCTGTGCAGGACTGCCAAGCTGTGTCTGAGGCAGGGGCTTCCCCAGGGCTGCAGGGGGATCCACCAGCCACGCTCCACCCTCCTCTGAGCCCCCCAGCAGCCAGGGGCACAGGGCCATGCCCAGGCTGGGTGGTTGGCAGGGCAGCACAGGTGCCTTGCAGATTAACTGCACGGAGCATGGAGCACGGACAGGAGGGAGCAGAGAGCCAGGAAACAGGAGCAGCTCATGCTCTTTGCCAGGAGAACGAGGCTTCAGCTTCAAAGAGACTCCACCAAACAGAGGAACAGAAAGCAACTAAACAAAAGAAGAAGTATGAAATGATGGAAGTGCATCAGTCAAAGCAGGCACACCAAGAGAAAGCAAAAATCACCCCCAGCATGTTGCACAGTTCTGAACTCTTAGGCAGCTCTTCAAATGAGTTGGTGACATCTCGAAATAAGAAGTTTGAAGGTCCTTTAGAGGAGACTTTTGCTGTCAGAAGCAGTGAAAGTAAACTATGTAGCACTTTACAAGAAGTTAAAAGGCCAAAGATTACCACAGATATTATTAGTTCACAGTTTTTGAAGACTCAGGATTCAGAAATGGAAAACCTGAACCTTAATTTAGGGTATGATGGAATCCCTGGTGCCTTTGGAACTACAAATAAACTAGGAGGAACTACAAAGAAACTAGGAGAGCCTCTTCCACTAAGAATACAACCTGGAAGGATGTGCAAAAAGGTTCCCACATTGCATCAGCTAAAAACCATTAGAAAACTCAAAAAAACTAGAGGTCCACCTTCCTTCGAGTTACCCCTGCAAATATTCCCCCAGCAGGAAAACACACCTCTGGAATCTTTGTACTTTCCATGTAAACCACCAACAAAGGAAAGGGAAACAGCCCTGAGATTTGCTCCTGTGCCAGGAGGGCAGAGGGCCAGGAGGGGCAGTTTGTTGAACAGCTTGAAATTTCGGAAATGTACCAAAGAGCCAGCCTTGCTGAGCAAGTTGTCTGCCGTGGCCAGCAAGCTCCTGGCCCCTGCCAAGGGCGTCTGTGACTTCCAACCTCGGCCATACTCCTCTGAAATGCTTCCCGTGGGTGACAGGTACAGCCACCAGAGATCGAAAAATCTCTTGGAAGCCTTTTCTTGCATTAACAGGAACGTTCACTCACGCTGGGCTGGCAGTTGGTGCACCAAGATGTTCAGCTTTCAGCCTTTGGCACTTTATCCTGTAGAAACTACCAAAATCCTTTTTTCAGACTCAAGCCACAAGCCTCCGACCTCTTTGTCGGACACCCCAGTTTTCCCAATTTCTTTTCACATCAAATTGGACTCCAGTCCCGTGACAGACCTCCCAGGGATTCCATCCCCGCACTCTGGACATCACGGGCCCGTTTCTGGGGAAATGCCAGCGCCAGCTTCCAAGTGGACTTGGTCTTTTCTCCTGTCTCCGAGCTGTTCAGATACCACAGCCTTCAAGGAAGATTCTACTCTAAATACTGAGCTTGGTTCTGCTCACTCTGTAACAACCCCAAGGACTGTGGCTCATCCTGACCGGGGAAGAAACGCAGTAGCTGAGAGAAGAGGAGGTTGTTCCAGGCTTGGCCTTCACACAGTGTTAGCACTTTCTTCCCCTGGATGTTACAGGATTTGGACAAGAAGAAGAAACTTAAGCAGTCACATTCCTACCATCCAGAGACTATTTATATCCCAGCTGGCACAGGGTTTGAAAGGGGCAAGGTATCCAAGCTGTGTGCCCGCTGGCCTGGCCTCCTCATTGCCATACTCCCTGGGCAGGGTCCTCTCCATATGGAGCCAGCACGGTCCTTCTGCCCGTCCTTCCGAAACCCCTCCTCTCCATCCCAATCACTGCAAGTGGCAGCCAAGTGTGGCCATCGAGAACAGGTAAAACCCATCAACTTCTTTCTGAGGTTAAATCTGTGCAGGGTATAAACTGGCTCCTTTTTGGGAGGGAGAGGGTGATTGCAGCTTGCATTGGAGGGGCAGTTCCCCCTCTTCCAAATCTACGCATTCTGCTCCGAGAATGGCTCGACGTGGAAGATCCTGTCCTGCAGAACAGTCTGTTAGATGAATTGAAATAAATTTGCCTTCACTTCTTTAATACTGTCCTGTTTTGGCAGAATGGCTAACTCTATTTTCTTCTCCCTTGCAAAATATACACACCATGCCTCAGAGTATATAATGCAAAAGGTGAGCTACTTCATTAGGTCTATGCAGAGTGACTGCAGAGCAACTGGATTTCCGAGGTAGGAGAGTTTCTTTCAGAGGTCTGAGCCACAAGTCGGAACCAACTGTAAAATGCTCAATATCAGGTTAGGAAGAATCGGAAGGGGAGGGGGGGTGCATTCAGTAAATTTTTAATTGTATTCTGTGACTGTTCTGTGCTAATTAATCTCTGTGCATGTTATACCTTCTGACAGTGGGTGCCTGGTATTGTCACACACAAATGTAGCTCCAGCTCATGTTGGTAATGAATTTTTCTGTGTGTGTCGTTCTTGTTACGAGTGGGGAGAGGACTGAAATCTACTTTGCATATTTAATTTGACTTTGCTGTCAGCATTTAAGATCACTTTACTAATAAACAGAATGAGGAAGAGGTTCCTAGCTCTGTCACAGGATTTTTGCATGCTCTTGAGCAAAGACTCTGCCCTTTATCTCCCAGTGGCACGGGGCAGTCAGTCCTTGGTTTTGTTCCTGGGCAGAGTGAAGGCTCCTGAGCCCTGCAGCAAAGTGCCTTTGATGAATTCCTTTGATTAGTGTGGCAGTCTGAGCTGTTGAATTTGTCTTATGCCACAGCTTGACATGTGTAACCAAAAATCCTGCCAGGCAACAAATGCTGCACTTTGCTTTCTATAAACACACCTAAAAGTTTAATATAAATTCTAATGTCTGCCAAAGGTGTGAGTGAGCTTATGGAAGTGCTGCCCCATTCTGGGAGCTGTCTGCGCTAAAATAAATTGAATAATGGCATAGGGACAACTCTCAGCACATTCTGTGGGACCTGCTTCTGTTTCCTTTCCAGATGAGTCAATTTATCAGGCTGAATTTTCTAATGAACAAATGAGTGCTGTGGAATAATCTTATCAGTGAAGTACAGTTTGAGCACCAAGCTTAAAAACAACACACTGTTAAAAACAAAACTTTTTAAAACTTACCTATGTGTATGAGGTGAATGGATTGGTTGGTGTTGCTGAGGCTTGTCCTGGACTGGGAGTGTGAGACGAGTTCGTTCCTGGCATGAAGGGTGGTTTGAAAACTGCATGTTTTGCTATGAATGAACTTCTTCCCAAAGGGAGAGAATTTAAATCAAACCTTTTCACTTCAAGTGAAAAATAACCGAGAGTTCAAATAGTCTAAAACTCCCTTTGTTTTTTCTCCAAAATACCTTACAAAATGTGTGTGAGGCAGCCTTAATTCTCCTGCCCCACCCGGATTTTCCTTCAAAGTGAAGTTATTTTAGCATGTGGTGAGTTGAAAAGTTTAAAGAAGTGCAGCAAATAAATCCTATTTCTAAATCAAACTGAATATTAAAGGTTTGGCTATAAAACAACATAAAGAACAAAACCTAACATTTTGAATATTTAACACCTTTTTAAATTCCATGTTGCTGAAGACTGACTGCCTGTTCTCATCAACTAATAATTCTTAAAGTTATTAACAGGAACAGTGACAAAAGGATAATTCAGTAAATCCCTCCTAAATTTGTGTGTACTCAGAAAAAAATCATTAAATAAATGTTCTGTATGTAATACAAGAAGTGTGTTTGGTGCAGTCTAACAGCATTTTCAGCTCCCAGTATGTCAGAAACCTTTGCCTATTTTGATTAAGATAGTTAAAAATCAGAACAAATTTAAAAGTTCCCTGCAGGCCATTTTCTTCTGGATAAGATTTTTCTCTTCAAATTATTTCATTCATAGTGTTTTTAATAACCAAGGAACTGGAGCAGTTCTCCTGCCTAAAAATAATCTTCTGTCCCTTCCACTGCCAATAATAAAGCATTTTTTAAGTGAAGTCTTTTCTCTAATTAATGCTTATTTAGATTAAATATTTCTAAAGGGTTTTTTTTCCTCTTCTTATAATTTATTATTATTGTTATTGTAATTATTGGATAACACAGTAAGCTCTGCCTCTGGCCTGGAGGGCTCTGCTGCACTACCGAGATGGTTCCAGCAGGGTTAGAATAGTGGGACAGGGAGAGAAGGGAAATGTTCCAGTTCTGCTGGAAATGAAAAACACAAGGAAAGGGTCTTTCTGACCACCTTCTCTATAGCTGGTTTGACCTCCCTGTGCTGCCAGCATGGCTGGGTTTTAGAACAGCAAAGTGCCTTTAGCTGTGGATTTGAGAGCACAAGATTTGCTGTTTAATGCCATAAAAGCTGGCCCAGCTGATTTCCTGCTGGCAATAGTATGGGCACAAAAGGAAAGCTTAATATCAAAGGACTTTCAGGCCGTGGAATGATGGTCATTACCAAGCCTTCTGGAAAGCCCTTTGCTTATTCCAATCCATTAAGAGTATTCAAGGCTGTGGGAGTTGGAGACAACAGGGAGTTAATCTTATGGAAATACTTCCTTTCACTTGGCACTGTTGCTATTATGCACTTTTTTTTATTTAGTAGCCAAATCCTTCAAGGGTTTTGGTTACTTTAAAAACTGGGGGGGTTAAATAAGGAATGTGGACTTTCATAGAAATAATTACAACTTTTAGGCTTTAATGATTACATAGAAATAATTATGACTTTCAATACTGCTGTCTCCCTCTCTTTCTATACTTTTAACTCCTTATCTCATCACTACCATTTTTAAGCAAAAGTAGAACTATTTCCTTAACAAGCTGTCAATGAAATTTAATGGCCTAAATGGCAGGTATATCTTTCTTTTATATCATTTCAGTCTTTCATTCTCATCCCTGATATGAGAGTATCTTTTGTCTTACAGTCCAGTTTATACTAATAATCTTTCCCTCGCCTATTTTATGGTGTAGACCTAATTTCTGCCTTGTTTTGTTTTGTTTTCTCGTTGTCCTTTCGAAGCAGCTATGCCATGTTCCCACACTTCCCTGCCCAGAGCATGGCAGCACTGCAGACTGCAGGTGCCACACGGTGAGTCTCGAGGTGGGGGATGTTTATCTGAGGGATCCTGAGGGATCCTGAGCTTTCTCAGAGAGCCATTGCTGGTGTCATCTTGGCTTTCAGGTTCTGGCAGCTCACTCCAAGAACAGCTTTGTGATTAAACAGTTAGTGAAGTGACCTGCCTGGATGGTGTGGGGTGTGAATGCAAACACCCCGTAGGTCATTGCACAGAACAGTTCTGGTGCTTTCAAGCACGTTGTGCCACTTTGTATGAAATGAATATGTGAAACTAGAGAAGTTTTGGTTCCTTACTTGATCTGCGTCCTTCCTGCCTGAGTGACTGGACATTTGGTGCTGAAACTTCCTTCTATTCTTTCTCAGTGTAGGGATGGCAGATAAAAGAGCTGCATTTTAAGTTTATCTGTAAATAGAAAGGACGATTAATAGTTGTGTCTTAGAAATTTGCTGGTAGAAAATGTAATTAATCCCTTTCTATCAGTAGTTGATAAACAGAGCTGTGAACCAGTTATAGGAAAAGAGTGAGTTTAAAATGACGTGTTCAGATGCTCTGGCAGTTAAGTTTGTGTCAGTACCAGAGTGGCTGCAGCAGTCGGGGGCAGTGTCTGAACTGCATCGCTTCTCGTGCCCAGACTGAATGCAGGAACATCACTGAGAGCAGGGAATGCTCTGCAGTGTCAGTTGGGTATTAATCTACACGTGTCCCCTTCTTGCTCTGTTCCAGTCTGGAAGCTTCACTCCCACTCCCGTTCCCAAAGCCTCCCACACTTGCAGAGTCACTGCCAGCCCCCCCCAGGCTTTCAGCAGCCGAGCTGCAGGTCCGTGCCCTGGATGAAGCCGATGCTCCCGTTCCAGCCTGCCTGAGATCCCAGGATGACACAGAACTGAAAAAAGTGAGCTCATTTTATACTGTAGGTCTCTCAGACTCTTGGTTCTCGAGAATTTGAGGCTGCTGCTGCTGCTGCTGAATATTACCCAGTAACTGTTAAAGATGAGGGGAGAGAACAGGCTGCAGGGTCTGCTCTGTGCTGCTGCTTTCTTTGCTTCAAGCAGAAAGAAGGTGGCAAACCAGAAAGGAATGTTTAATGTGTAGATAATAGCACAGTAGATAATACCCAGCATATAGACATACTCAGCATAAAAGGGAATCCTGTTGACTGGTGTGGTTGTAATTTTCTTCATTTTAACTTTTTTTTTTCCCCCTTCTTTGTTTTTTTTAAGACTGAGCCAGAAAAGAGGCCAAAGAAAGTCTCAGAGATCCGAATCAGGAAAACTGTTCCCAAGCCGGACACAAACCTTACTCCCATGGGACTGCCCAAACCAAAAAGGTGAGCAGTGTCATGAAAGGGACTCAGGCAGGCTCCTGCTGCTTACATTTCCTGCCTGTGAGTACAGTCATCACTGTCCTGCACAGCCCCAGCTGAGGGAGGTCTGGTGTTCGCTGTCAGCTCTATCAGAGCCACTCACTGAGGTTTGGCCAAAACGGGGAAAACTAAACTGCAAGGGAATGATTTCTCTAAAGAAGCAAGAAGTTTGTTTTGATAAACATAGATTGAAGATCAGTCATTCTGCAGTGCACAGTGAGATGAAGGGATCTGTTGGAAAGTTGTGTGATCACAGTGCCAAACGCTGATAAAGCTTTTCCAGTCAGTCATCTGGTATTTTGTTCACTTTTGTCTTAAACACAAGTGGCAGCTTTGACACAGGAATGCATTTCTTCAGAGATCAGCTTGGGAATGGTCAGTAACTAAAGGGAGTCTCGAGAGATGAAGTGTTGATCTGTCAGACTGGAAGATTTTTCTCAGCTTTCACCAGAAAGTGACCTGTGAAGGCATTTCCCCTTCTCCTTTAGAGCATCATTATTTCAAAGCATCCCAGAATGCTGGAAGGAACACTGACCTCTGCAGAAAGGGCAAGTCTTGACCCAGACCTTATAAAAACACTGCATGGAATTAGGTCCTTAATGAGCTCATTCTTCATTCCTCCCCATCTCCAATTAAAGCACAATCACTCAGCGTTGAGGCAGAGGACCTGTACTTGTCTCTCATAAATCTGCTTGCTGGGAAGAGAAGTGGGTTTGAAATTCTTCTTTCTTGATTGATTTGTCATTACTTTTTTCAGGCTTAAGAAGAAAGAATTTAGTTTAGAAGAAATTTACACCAACAAGAACTACAAATCCCCTCCTCCAGCCAGGTTGGTTGTGCTTCCTAATTAGAAAACGAAGATGAACGTAAATTAATTAGGCAGAGGGAGAGAGAGGAGATGAAACGTTTCTGAAAGCTGAGAGGGAGATACAGTTTTTAAATTGCTACTTTAAAGTGGTAGAGAAAGTTAATTCAAACATAGTATCTTTTACTATTTGGGTGGAAAGCAGTAAAATAGAATATGAACTAAGAATTTATCGCTGGCTAAGCATGGATTTGTATATTTTTTTCATCTGCTCATTCATTCCAGTCTCCATCCAAGTGAAGTAATTACTTTTTCAGAATTCAGAGGGAACTACATGTTCTTTAAGATATTAGTGTCATCAAATGTTCAAACCTAGTTATTCTATAAAATCAAGATTCTATAACTGAGCTGAAATACAGCTAGAGAGATTCTACCCCGGTGTCTGTGCAGCAGGGAGGAATTAGCTGGCAGGAACATGCAGTAGTAGGAGGTGGAAGCTGTGGATAATTTTCCTTACAGGAGGTGTGGAGAGGCTGTAAAAATGTAAAAGTTAAAGCAGGTTTATTTGGGTTGTGAAATCCCCCCGTGTCCCTGGCCATGGAAGGGGCTGCTGCTGCTGCTGCTGCTGCTGCTGCTTGAGTGTTCATAAGCGTTCTCTGCCTTTACCAGGAGCTTGGAAACAATCTTTGAAGAGCCCAAGGAGAAGAATGGACACCTGATTTCTGTCAGCCAGCAGAAGAGAAAGCGCATTCTCGAGTTCCAGGACTTTACCCTTCCCCGCAAAAGGAAGACACGAGGCAAAGTCAAAGCGGTGGGTTCTTTCACCCGAGCCAAGAGGGCTGCCCTGCAGAGTGCAGAGCTGGATGTGCTGCTGAGTGAGAAGCTGATGGCCCTCGAAGCCTTTTTTGCAGAGGAGGTGGAGCAGCAGCAGCAGCAGGAGCAACAGCAGGAGCAGCAGCAGCAGCAGGAGCAGCAGCAGCAGCAGGAGCAACAGCAGGAGCAGGAGCAGGCCTCCAGCAGCTGAGGGAGCCACAGAGCCGGGAGTGGGCCAGTCAGCCTCGGGAGGATTTTCCTCTGGGGAGAAATCTACTGACCTCGTCATGCATTGCTCTCTTCTAACATCTGATAATCAGTTCTTGGCTGTGACCCTCTTTAAGGTGCTATTTTGTTTTTTATTTTGTTTTTTAATGCTATTGGAGGGATTCTTTGACGTCCCTGTTGGAGTGTAACACAGCCACATAAAATTTACCCTTCCTTCCTCAACCTCTGGAAAATACTGCTTATATTTAATTAATTATGTTAAAACACCTTTTGGGGGTAGAGTAGGAGTGTAAAGGAGGAGGTAGTGCACTTTCAGTGATGCTAGAACTCTGTACTCCAGATCATTTGCACATTTGAGTCTGCTGTTGTTACTGTAATGAATGGCTATTTTGAACAACCTGGCAGAAGAGATACGGTGTTTGATAAAGATGAATTCTTGATATACCACTAACTTTTTAATAATTAAAAGTAGCTGTCTGGGTTTGCATTCAATTGTTTCTTCCTTCTGTTAACTTAGAAGGTTCCTTCTGAGTTTCTGTGCCCTTCCTGGCTTCAGGCAGCAGAAGCCCCACATAACTAGACTTTATATACCTTGCACTTTGTATATGTTTCTTTTTTTGGTGCATGAGGACACCTTTTAACATTATTAAACTGAAAAAAGGGGTAATGTTTTAAGGAAAAATGGTGCCCAGTACTACTTTTTCCCAAATAGTAGATTTTTTTACTTACTTGGCTGATGCCAACCTCTTCTCCAGAGGAAAAGCCCATGAGGATGTTAAACTGCAGGATACATAAGCAGAGATTTCTGTTTAACTGACCTGCTGCATGGAGGGAGTACCAGCAAAGTCTTTGAGCCTTGCTTTTAAATTATTTTAAACCTATTAAAAAGATTAACTTGATCTTAATGTCAACAAGAAATGGTTTTTTTCCATCTCGAGGGGTTTTTTACCACTGTAGATTTACAGTTCCTGGAGCTCTGAACTGGGTACTCTCTGTGCACACTGTTGGCCGTAACAGCCAGGGTTGTACCAAGAGCCTCCTGGCACGAGGACATTTTTGATGTGAGGTCAGTTGTCATCACCTGGTGCAGCTCTGGGCAATGTCTCAGCTCCACCTTGGGAAGGAAGAGAGCTCCCTTGTGGCATAACTCGTGTTTCCCTCGCTTGCAGCATCATTCCAGGTGAATGGCAGCTGCAGTTCAGGTCATTTCTGTCCCTCAGTGCCTAGAGGAGTTGTTCAGGCAAAGCTGTTGTTCTGGGATGCTCAAATGGAATTAGTCTCTTCTTTCTTTCACTTGAACTTGCACTTTCTTATTTACCTGCCCATGTAATAGAGTTTCTATTTACCTTCAAATTGAGCAAATATCTAGTGGGTGGGTATTTTTTATGAAGTCCCAATAAATGCAGGACTGAAGATACTATTATTATCTTCTGTTGCTCTACCACTTCTGTTACTGACCAAACAGAAAACTAAAAATTATCAAGCAATCTGTTGAATTTCAGAGCTTTCAAAGTAGAGAAATGGAAGAGGATTATTACACTGTGTGTGCCTGAGTCTTGAAAGAAATCTAATCTGGGGTGGTTTTTGCTCCCAGCTTATGTGCTGGGATTCCCAAAGGTTCACATTCTTGGTTTTAAGGGTAATTATAATCTTTAATCAGGAAGACTGAAGAAAAGAGAGGAGTGCACACTTAGAGGAGTAGGGTTTGGAGTTTGAGGGTGAAGTAACAAGGCAGGCAAACTTTGAACATATTGACATACTATTTTTCTGGTTAAGCTGTTAGGCTGCTGTAGAACATTCTAACTGATCCTCTTTATTTTTGTAAAAAGAAATCCCTAAAAAACAAAGGTTGACTGCCTCCTAAAAAAAAAAAATGTTTGAAACTTTCCCTATCCTGGTTTATTAGCCCAATTATGGACTGGTTGGAAGTGGTAGCAAGAGTGAGAGATATATTTTTATGGATTTATGCTGTAGAATGGGGTTGTTGGAGAACGTTCATTCACCTTCTATTAATATGGGAGGCTTCCAGTGCTGTGACACAACTGAGCTGTAACCTTAGTGAGGGCTTTAAGGAAATAAAGATATGGGTGGGGAGGGAAGAAACTTGGGTCCAGGAAAAGTTCAGACCTCTAATGTACTTCAAAACACGGAATGTGTTGGGATTGGTTTATTTGTTTGTTTTGGGTGGGGATTTTTTTTATCTGCCTCTCTGTTCTGCCTTGTCTCTGATTGCTTTAAAAGGACATTTCTTAGCTTGCTTTCTCCAAGCTACAGCAGAGAGAGCAAAGAGAACACTCAATTCTCTTTGGTTTACAGTAATGGAAGGAGTTACAAAATGTTGCAGTTGCTTTGGCCTGTCCCAGACCTGAGTTTGTGGCAACCCAAATATCCAGCATTATTCTCTTTTGGTTCAGTGTCTGTATGATGATGTGAGCTAATGGAGACCAAGCACCAAACAGGTGGCAGTTGTGCTTGTGCACTTTTTTCTCTTCTCCTTTGCCCCCTCTGTTCCTGTTTGCAGCACTCCTGGAACAGCTGCTCCCTGGGGCTGCTGCTGGCACACTGGGAGTGGGGCTGGGCAAAAGCTGGGCATTGGCCACTCTAAGCTGCTCCTGTCACAGAGAACTGACACAAAAAAGGAGAGAGGTGCATCTTTGGGGCTCCTGCCTCCATCCCTAGCTGAGGTTATGCGCATTTGCCTTTTCATCAGGTGAATCCGCTCCACTTTTGTGTCACCATGGGAAGACCTTGTACGTCTTTGCTCTCAGAGTGATGACCAGAGCAGCTTGAGAAGGATGCAAAGCTTTTGCCACGTCCTGTCTCTCAGTAGTAAGTTATACAGAGCCAGGCAGCTCTTTGCTACATTTGCTGATTATGGGAGATAGAAAGATCACTTTCCAAGAAAAAAAGATGTTATTTTCATCATGCTATGACTGGAGCAGCTGAGGCTCCCTAATGTGTGGTACAGCATTAGCCTGGCTGGCCTCTTGGCTGCGTACATTGGAGTTCTGGTGATTGCTGGATGTGAATTCCTGCAAGCAGTTCTCACTGTATTGGATTTCAGGTGGGCCTTTGGGATATTCTGTTCCAGGTGCTTTTCTAGCATATGGATGGTAACTGTGGATTGAAACTCTGTATGATGCTATCAAGTTAACAAATAGCTCCATGAGAATTTGTACACTTGTGCCATCAGCCTCCATCATGCTCTTGGCATTTTGTTTCTGTTCAATATTGTGTGAATCTAAAATTTTACTGTTTCTTTTGTGTGTGTTTTTAATTTATGGAAATAAATTTTTCTGAGAACCTTTCAGGTTTTTTAAGGCCTGCTAGCTTGCATGGGTAAACATGCACGATCCAGGTCGCGCATACACGGGGGAAAGAGGGCAAATCTCCAAAGAGATGGACACTGTTGAGTAACAGGGGGTTGGTGAGCACAGAGCAGCAGTTCTGGTGTTCCTTCATCCACAGCCCCACCTCGAGAGGGATTTTAAGCCTGATCTATCCTAGCATTGAGGCTGCATCCATCTCTCGAGATAGCAGAGCAGTAGCAGCCCGAGAGCACGGCCAGTTCCTGCTCAGATTCCAGGCTGGAGCTGGCCAGGGGTCGCAGCTGATGCTTGGGAACCAGAGCTGGAGCACAGGAACATCAGCAAGGCCTGTACTATCCGTGTCAGAAAACAGCAGCCCTGCCCTTCCAACCCCTACAATGCCGTGTATAACCCAGACTTTCACTTGGCAAAGCCAAGCTCCGGGTGCATTCCTTCCCCGTTCCCAGAACTGCCTTCTCCGAGGTGCAGTGTTCCGTGGGCCCCGCAGAGGGCAGGGAAGCTCCAGCAAGGAAAGGCAGGGAGCAGCTCAGAGGCTAAGGAAGCATCCCAGGATTCCTCTGCTCCTTCAGGGCTCCAGCTCTTTGGCTGCAAGGCAGTATCCGAGGATTTGGCTCTCTCACCAGACTGGGACTTGCTTTACTCACCATTCAGCTCTGTCCTTTGTGTGAAAGGTGGAGCAGTTTGGACTTGGGTCCTCTCCTGTTTGGGAGTTGGTGTCAAGCAATGGGACAAACAAGATGGAGAAGAGGCTCAGCTCAGATGGACTGAATCCTAAACCCTCATTACTGCTCAGAGTACCAAGTTTTTCCTTCTCAGGAAAGGAAAAGTGAGGAGAGGTGTGACTGTAAGTCACACAACAGGAAAGACAAACTGTTTAAACTTGTTGGAAGAAACTGTTTTAAGCCAGGTCTGTTTAGCAGCATTTTTTCCAACTGAGTATGGCTGCCTGGCTTTGCTGCTGGTGGTTTTATGCTTTTCCTTTACATGGCAGCTACATTGGCTTTATTGTCTGCACTGGTTGCATCTCATTTATTAATAGCTGAGGTTTATACAACTGCAAGAGATGTCACGAGGTGTGGAAAGTTTTGAGTGAAGGATTGTAAATTATTTTGTTAATTAAGAACTTAACCTTGTCTGGGAGCAGAGGGTGGTAACGCCCACAAACTGAAGTGAGCCCTGCCCATGAAGAGCCATCCACTCCCAATCTTCATCCACTAACAGGCAAAACCAATACATGATACATTCTGCTCAAAAGGCTTCATACCATGTTCAGCCACTTTCTGCCTGTAAATCCTATGCTGCTTAATTGATAAGTCATATTTTGACCTTTCACAGAATCTTACACTCAAAGTGTCAAAGAACTGTAAAGTAATAGTTGGAGGTTGTGAGAAGGATGAATATCCATTGCTTTTTTTTTTTCACCTTAAGGCTGCAAGCATCCAGTTCTGCTGGCTTTTAAATGCCTTAATACATTTATTTGTAAGAAAAAAAATTGGTTTGATTTAGTAGTAAAAATCTTTGGTTAAAAAAAGCAAATACATTTTCCCAGCTAAAAGCAGAAAATACCACTGCTCTGATAGCAATTCCATGCACAGCCTATGGCACATTTGTGCATTCTGCAAGGACTACCTGGCTGCAACCAAACTCACAGATACAGGAGGACAATGGCATTTACCAAAATGTCGGGTTTGTGCATGGAAACTCTTTATAAGACAAGCAAGGCAAAATGCTACCAACTAACCTGTGCTACTGCTGCCAGTCTGTATTTTAGCCCATGGTATTGGCCCTGCTGTTTCCACAGAAATGCTGATTTCTCCAGAGTGGTTGCAGAGAATTGCTGATCCTATTCTGTGCTCTGGGCTGGGCTGTTCCCTGTGCTGCCCTGCTCCAAACAGGACAGGGGTAGTTTGGCATTATCATAAACATCAAACCTGCTTAAAAAAAAAAGACAAGAAGATATTCAGTATCCCTCTCTAGAAATGCCTGTTTCCTTGCTGATTGCTTTGGGTGGGCTGGACTTGCGCACGTCCTGGTTTTCAGGAGTGAGGGTGATGTACGTGCCTTGCACAGCCTCTGGCTCTGTCAGTTGGATGAGGATGCACAGATATCCTGTTTGCAGAAGTCCAGGATGCCTGCAAACCAGCAAGAAAATACACACCTCAAGTTGCTATCAGCTTTCAAAGTAATACATTCTTCATATATACATTCATACGGTATAACTCAGTAAAACCACAGAATAGAGGTAAAATTTCCCTTTTGAACTTCAGTTCTAAGTTCAACAACTTAGACTCACAGAAGTGTAACTTTCATTTACTTCAGTACAGATTTTCAGATCCATAGGCAGTGCCAGCTTTGCTGACAGCTAAATGCACACTTCACACTTCAGACACTTTGCAGTGGAAAATAATGAAAAAGCCACCTTAAGGGAAGAGTTTATAAAGGTTTTGATCTTAATTTCTATAGTGGGTTCTTTTTAAAAAGGAAATTATTTAACTTATTTTGAGCTTAATTCAAGAATGAAATATAAAATTTCTTATCTTTTTCCCCAAGTTTGGCATATACAAAGGAACGTTATATTTCCTTTTCCTAGAACTGATCCCTGGAATCAAAGGGGAAAAAATTCAGAGTGAAACAGTCCTATCTCAACAACCTCATATTTGCTCTACAACGTGTTGGTTATTCTGTTTCTACAAAGCTCCATTTTCAGTGCTTTGGGATATGAGTTTTCTACAGGAGCTCCAAACACAGGACTCCTTGGGAAATTAATACTAACAGGATTATGTAGAACATACTTTCCATGCAGCCTAAACAAAAGGGTAATAGCTGTGCACAGAAATGCCTGCTGCATTTCTCTCTAACTCGGAATTAAGGACTTGATTTTACCTGCAGGTGTGCAATTAAACACTGACTCTGCCAGCTGGATGAAGGAATCTCCCAGGATTTCCTGATAGCTCAGGTGACTGGCAGGAACAAGGTACTGAGTAGCGTCTTTGAAAAGCAGATCACTTCCACCGTACTTCCAGGACTGAAAGAGCTGGAATTCAGAATCCAGTTTGCTTCCCAGAGATTCCTAACCAAGGAAGAAAGTTTCACAGCTTGGATCAGAAATAGCAAGGTTAAGCTTGTGAGTCTCAATTTTAGATATAGCAGAAAGGAGGGTCCACATTCACCTAGCACCTTCCTGGTACCAGAAGATGCAGTTTTGCAGTGCCTTATTTTTCAACAGAAGTATGGCCACTGCTGAATGGGAACTGGGGCCAAAATACCCCTTCAGAGAATCCAAATCATTATTTTCTTAACACCCTCTGCACATTTCTAATTCTTTCATATTGGATCTGAAGGCACTTTATGTGTGTAGTATAGAAAGCTTTCCATCTTGGCAGGGTTTTCAGGAGTTGCACATAACAGGTGATAACAAGCCAAGCTTTTCCCTGTTCCCTGCCTTACCTGGGATTGCAGCAGGAAGTCGTGGATCTTAGTGACAGTGACCGGCCGGGTGATGACAGTGCTGGGGGGGATGTGGCCCAGGTGACACCCTGCCCACTCCGTGACTGCAGCGCGGGTCCCGTCCGGGCACAGCAGCTCAAAGTCAAGGGCGCTGTAACCTTTGGCCCAACCAGAGCTGTCCAGATCTGAAAAGAAAATGAAGTAAAAGCAAATCCTTTTGAAAAATTAAAACACAAGACAGGGTGAATCTCACGGAAAATGTTGAAAATGGAGAGGAAGAAGCTCAGTCGGTGTGTTCCAAACAGTCTGTGGGGCCATTTCTGGGGAATACACAAGGCCCAGGGAGTGGTTGCACTGAGGAAACAGGGCAGTGAATTTAAGCTGTGCCTACCAACTAAAACCAGAGGAATATCAAGGCCTATCATGTCTCATCTTCATCTGTGACCAGATCTTTTTCTAGAAACAAAGCACTTTGGCCTGCATGTCCTTTGCTTCCCCCAACAAACTGCTCATTGCTGCATGAACTCCTGGGGCTTTCCAGGCCCTTACACCCCCACTTGATTTCAGAGAGATTCTTCTCTTCAAAAAGTCTCCTTTTGTTACTGAAATTGCCTAAAATAGAATTTCAGTGTGCTTCACCAGGCTGAACAAATGAGGATTCCCTTTCCCCTCGACTCTGTGAAAAGCATGTCTGGGCTGTTAGAGCAGTAAACATCATTTAAGAGACTGAGGGGATTTAAGCTCCTGCAACCAGAATCATTTTCATCAACAAAATCCAATTGCTAGACTGTTGCAAAGATCAGTGTTTCCCAGAGGAAATTAAGTATTTCACAGTGTAGTAACACTGCTATTTTAGAGACTGTGAAAGGCAACATAATTTGCAGTGCTTTTGCCTATTAAGCTGCTTGGCCTGTTTATCCCATAAGTGCCTGTGAGACAATCTAAGGAAGTTGCCACAGAACATCTCCCAGCACAAACACCCACAGCACTACCCTTAGTTTCCAGAATGAAAATGGCAGCTGATTTAAAAACAAATTAGTGCAGTCTCCCAGGATGACTATCCCCCAACACACACACTGCTCTTTGCACTCAGGAATTCTTCCTCTTTCCTCTCCAGCAGTACCTGAGTGTTGAGCTTTACTGGAACCCCCACATGCAGGAAGGTTCTTGCAGTTTTCTGGTCACAAACACCACTCCACGGACCCAGATTAAACCCATAAAGGCTGAGCCTCACAAGTGATGGTCACTTTGTGGGAAGTCACTGACACTAAGGAAGATTCTCAAAGGGAAAGAGAATCTGCATCTCACCTTCAATGTTCTGGAGCAGGTTAGAGTGTTCCAGGAAAGCGACATCTCCAAAGCTTCTTCCACTGGGATTGCCAACTAGGCACCTAGTGAAGGAAAAAATCAAGTGATCAGAGACAGTCACTACACGATGACTGACATTTGGACAGTCAGCTGAAGCTAAAGAGGAGTAGCTGGAAGCATCCCTTCCATCTGTAATGACGTGGTTGTCATGTGGAACAAGTTAGTGATATCAGTACAGGTCTCATATGTGTTCAGGTATTTAAAGCTAAGACAACTCCTTCATCCCTTACACCTCCCAAGCCAAAGCTGTGGCACAGTGTGCACCTTCACCCATGCCTAAGCAGGAAAGAGAATGCGTTATAGATTTTTTTTCTAAGAGTTCTTTCACCTTTTATATTCTTCTCTGCTTCTGTCTTCAACTATTTTTTTTTGTTATCTCCAGTCTAATACCCTCCTGTATCCTACCCTGCTTCCTCTCACATCACCTCTTCTCTCTGAGCTCTGAACTATCTTTCATCCCTTCCCCTTAATGAGTCAGTACCAATGCTCTAAGCCTGACATGTTTGGAAGCATTGCCTTGCTTTGGAAATGGTTTCATGACTATTTTAAATCACCAGTCAGCTGCACATCCCATAGCAACTGCAACCAAAACAAAATACACTCTGGCAAAAGTTTACATGGCCAGTTGCTCAACAAAAAGGGGGAAAAAAAACTTTCCAAGGAAACCATCAGCAAAATAATAATCCAGTTCTGGTTATTGCTCTGCATTTTTGGCCGACCAAAAGCTCACCTGAGTGCTCCCATGTTGCCATAGTAATGTTCATTGTGACCTGCAGCACATCTGCTGGAGACTCGGGCCCCTTCCACCTCGCTGTCCCCAACGCACACCTTGCACATGTTGCCATCTGCTCCCGGCATGCAGCCCTTCCAAAAGTAATTCTGGTAAGCTGAGGAAATACAACCGAGGTGAGGTTAAGGCAAGGCATTCCAAATGCTCTTCACACATGGGAAAAGACAGGAATGGATTTCCATCCTAATAGCTGGCAAGAAGAGGGCTAAATAGTGTGAGGAATCACCCAGAGTCAGATATGGGGAAACGCTGCTTTGACACCCTCTGAGACTGCAACCACTTGCTGGCTGAGTCCTCTCGGCCCCATCTCTATTACTGCCAGATTTAGGGCTTCAGATTTTCATGGTCTAGTCAACAGATAACCCAGAGCAGCCCTTACCAGAGCCAATGTCACAGTTCTGGGTATCATTCCCCAGAGCTCCCACTGTGTGCCTGGACAGCAGTAACCATCCTGCAGGACTGTACAGGTGACTGTGGCAGGACCTCCTTCCCTTCAGGTTATGGATGTTAATCTGTTTGGCACTTTTCTTAGCTAAGGCAACAGCAAACACAGGTGGTAGTGCTGCAAAACAATGACAACTCGTTATGCCAAGGCAATTATGTATTCCAGACCGGTACAGCTCCCTCTTCCCTCCCTCATCCTGTCACAATATCTTCACTTGGAGTACAGGACCTGCATTCTTTGCTTAGCCACAAACTCTTGTCCTAGCCAGAAAATTCTTTTCCAAACCAACATGCAAATCCATTCTTACATAAACCCTAGAGCAGTCTCAGGAAAATCTAAGCATTTTACCCTCTCAAAGTTATTTTGTTACCTTTGTGCTTAACGTGAATTAGTTTTCCTGTTTTCTCCATGCTCTCGGCAGCTTGGGCACAATCTCCCCCTGGAGAGGAGAGACAGTCATTAAGGATGTTGCCACTGCTGTCATTCCTTTCACCAACAAAACCCTTGTGATCCTCTTCAGCCATGCCAGCACGTCTGTCCCTTTTACAGAAGGGATGTGATAAACACACCAGATGTTAGAGGCAGTGGAGGAGCTGGGGGGAGAATTTGGACATACATATTGATTCCTGCTCCCATCACAAACCATCACAAACTGGGGAAATGTAACTGCATTCTTAATGGCACTTTTTTGACTCCCTCTCTCCTTGAAAAGGTCACATGAGAACTCACCATAACACTCTGCAGCTACAGGCACCAGCCCACACCTGCCTGCGATGTAGACGTGTGTCGCATCCAGGGTCACCGCGTCCGCCTCGCTGCTCTGCCAGCAGCATTCCAGGAAAGAACAAAACCAGCACTGCCATCAGTTGTGTATCCAAGCAGCTGTGCTCCTCCACTGCTTACAAATTCCCCTGCACAAACTCCGTCTCATTCCCACTTGTTCACCCGCTTGGTGAACAAGTTGGTTCTCCTCTAGTTCAGGTCAGAGCAGGACAAACACACCCTGTGCAGTCTTATCACACGCTCCAGGCAGAGGGAGTGTCCTACCTTGATCATTTCAATGCATTTGGTCATGGAAGTTGCTTGGACACAGACTAAGGGGTCGGATTTGATGCTCAGTGCCCACTCCTCACATTTGCGAAGCTCGGCGTCGCTGATGCAGCACCAGCGCACGACGCTGTTCTCCAAAGAGCTCCCTGAGAGGGAGGGAAGGAGCACAGTGAGATCACGTCAATGCACCAATCTGTTATTTGATAAGGGGATGTTTGGGTCTGTGCACTTGTGCCTGGCAGGGAGGAATTTCATGGAAGGAGAACTTTTTCTTCCCTTTCCTTAGCTACAATCCTCTAGAAGGCTTCTCACCTTCGTGGCCCAGGCCCTTGAGGAGAGCCACATAATCCAGGCCAAGGACATAGGCAATCTCCAGCTGCTCCTCCAGAAGCTGCAGGTGCTGAGTGGCATCTCGGAACAGCAGGTTCTTTCCCCCAAAGGGTGCTGAAGTGAAGAGTTCAAATCTGGCTCTTTCCTTCCCTTTTCGCCCAAAGAGGCGCTGGCACAAGAACAACACTTTCAATTGCAACAGATCTGCTCAATTCCAGTATCAGGCAGCCTCATCCCTCCCTCCCTCCCTTCCATCAGTGCTTTGTAACATAGAACTCACAACAAACCCCACAGCTACTGCAGTGAGCAGGTGGTTCCAGTCCTAAAAGCATTATATGGTTCACCTTTTTTAAGTTTCTTTTCCTATTTTAATTATTTCAAGTTACTGGATTGTGCTCAATGTCTCCTACCCTGACAAGGCAACCAAGGAAGCAAAACTGAGCGAGAAGCATTTGTGCAGCAAAGGGGTGCAAAGGTATCCTGTACTTTCTGATTGGGAAGTACCACCTGCAAAGCAGCTCCATTCAGCCTGATGGCACTGGGAGAGAAGAAAGCACTGAGAATGCAGCAGGACCTCTGCTGCACAGCTAAGATGTGTTAATAAGTGCCCTGGCAAAGGCACATGAAGATCTCTCAATAAGGGAGAGATCCTGTACAACTGCTCTCTTACCACAGCGTGCGTGACAGCACAGCTCAGCCCACTGGGGTGAATTATTCACTGTCTACTGAACTAATTTAAGGGCTGAGTGGCTTCATAAATTCTTTAAGCATGCATTTCAGGTTCAGCTTCAAATAGATTCCAGGATGTCAAGATATCGGGTACTATTTGGAAGCTGAGAAGAAAAAAGAGAAAAAAAGGTGAGCCCTGACAGAACCTGCACATCTCCCTCAGCTACATAGAAGCTACACTTAAGTTCCAGGGCAGAGTGAACATCATCAGCCATTTTCCAGTTTGGGTGTTAGGGCACCTTCCCCTTCTTTACTTATTTACCCCCAGCCTCCTAGAGAAGAACACCTCAGAGAAAAGCAAAACCTTGCAGAAGCCAGTGCAGGAACCTTCCCCAGAACAAACGATTTTTAGGGCTTTATTCACACTAACTACAAACTTCTCAAGAAAAAAGGCAAACTGGGAGGTAATCACCACACAAGCTGGAGATCTACAGCTTGTAATATGCACTCACCTGGATCATGCTGAGGAATTTGTTGGTGATCCTGTGGAAGTTGCTGCGGGTGACGATGGCCCGGCCAGGCCCCTTGCCCAGGTTACAGGTGCTGTAGGCGCTCAGCTGGGCTGTGCTCCCATCAGGACACAGGAGTTCATATTCCTGCTCTTCTGACTCTGAAAGGAGCAGCCACTCGGGAATCTGCCAAGTGAACCCTGACTTGGCAGCAGGCACAGAGAGGGAATGTAAGGAACATTGCAGGGGAGGTTGCTCAGAGGTTGTGCAGGCAGAACAGGGTACCAAGAGCACTTGGGAAAGTGGTCTTTGATTTGTTCTTCTCTTAACAAAGAGAGGGATCTCAGCCAGAGGTGACTCAAAATACCCTTTAAGTTGTGCCCCTGTAACTATGTTTGTTTAAAAATACTTACCTGCTGACACTACTGCTAAGCACCTTCAAAAACATCAGTAAAGAGATCCACTGAGTTTAAAAGTACAAAGCAGGTATACAGGAACTTCACATTCCAGCAGCTCAATACACTGAATTTAAAAAGGAATCTTATAACTCATCTAAATCAAACACTGGCAGCTTTGTCAGAGACTTTAGTCTAAAGAAATCACCTGTATAAGAACATCTTTATGCTTCCATTTTAAGAATCTGTTGTGAGCAATTATTGCTCACTTACCCTTTCCTCTTCTGTTTCCTTGTGTGGAAAGCCAAGAAATACTATTGAGCTGCTCACAGGGATTGAATTTTCACTGGAAACAACATAAAGATTGGCATAATCCCCAAACTCCTCTGCAGCAAAGAGCACAGCCATAGATTAAAAGAAATCTGAGTTTTTAGGGTTACCTGTGGCCCTCATAATTCTTAGATGATCTAAAAAGGCAACATCTGCCACTCCCTCCTTCAGGCACCTGCAGGAAGACAAATGCCATCCTATTAACATGTCACCTGCCTTTCCTCCCTTACAAGTTCTTTTTGCCACAGTCCCAGTGTCCCAGAGCTCACCTGAAGGCTCCCTCAGAGTCATAGAAGGGTTCATTGCTGCTTGTCTCACAGAAGTGGTTCTTGTCTCTGACATAGGATTTTTGTCCTTGGCAGAGAGCACAGAGTCGAGGAGCAGCAACACCAACCCCGGGGATGCAGCTTGCATTGAAATACTCACTGATTGCTGCAGATGGAGGGGCAAAAAAACAAACCAAAACAAAAAGAAAAGAGTCAAATTGAAAAAAAAACCACAAAAAAACAAGGAAAGGGGGCCAAATATATCAGGGACATAACTAACACTATGGTGGTTTTACAAATAAATAAATTCTGCAAATGCAGTTTTACTTGCTCTAAACTGCAAATCTGAAATATTTGCTGTAAAGAGAGTGATCAAATTTTGCTTGTTTAAAATCATCTTTGTGCTGGTTAGATATTGCAAAGATTTGTTCCCTGCATACAGCACACAAAGATTTCCTGTTTTGGTAACAACTCTTGCTGCTTTGAGATCACTGGAAAAGTTCTGAAGAGAGCTAAGAGTCAGTATCAAAAACACTCCAAGAGGATCCAGTATCCACAAATCCCTTCAATGCCCACACAGCCCAGTTCATCCCACATCAGCTGGCATTTCACTGACTCCTGCTGAGGCAGAGCCCCGTGGCTCCTCTCACCCACCTTGGCTCAGAGGTTGTGCCTCATCCCAGGAAAGGTCATTTCTTGCAAGGAGGAAGCCAAGTGGAACATTCCAGCCCGACGTCCACCTGGCTCCGTTGTGGCAGCTGCGCACACCTCGCAGCCGCTGGATGTCCAGAGTTCCTCGTCTGGCCACGGCCACGGCAAACACACAATTTCCTGCAGGAGGACAAAATATGTGACAAAAAGAAAAAATACATCCTTGTTCTGCAGCTTCCACTTGTGCACAGGAGTTGAACAACTTTGGTGAATATGGCCAAGGAAAAATCGACATTGGGCACATTAAATGTAGGTGCTGATGCCAGAAACTCAACCATACACTGGGAATGTGGCACCTTGTCACAAAAGTGATGCAAGTGATGTGCAAGCAAGAAGGTAAAAATCTGGTGGGAAAAGCTTACAAGCCCATGCAGATCCATCATACAATCCAACTGCTTCTCAGGAATTTTGAACGTTTGCATCCCACTCTTTAGGTATTGTAATGGAAAGAACTCCTTATCCTCAGAACATATTCACCATTCATGGTGTGTCAGCCAAAACAAAGTTCCTCTCTGTTCTCATACCTTCTGCTTATTAATCCCTTCTTACATCCATCTGCTAATTTGGCTTCCTTCTCAGATTCCTGTCCCATAAGTATTTTCTCCTGTATGCTTGATTTTGGCTCAGACTTATTTATTCTTGCCTTATGAATCATTCCCTGCAGGACTGACAGGAGCAAAGAGGAATCTTATCGTGGTAAGATTCTCCCCCCTATATTCTTGTCTCTTTAGGTCGAGAAGGAGAGAATTAATTCATGAGAGAAGTTCACCTCTCAAAGAACTGCTCGTGAACGTTCAGTTATGCTGATAAAGAGCATGGTGTAAGAACTGACACAGATGGAATAAAATCCTAGAGGATCCAGAGCTCCAGCCCAGCAGTGCTGTGGGCAGGGGTGGGTACGGTCAGTCTGTCCCAGTGTCAATGCCACAGGCAGAAAGGCTGTTGGGTACAAAGCACCACTGGGGTTTTATTCATCATTACTAAGTATTTTAGAAACAGTTGTTTACCACCTCCATACTCCTATGAAGTTAATAAAAAAACACAGGGTTTTTTTTCAAGAACTCAAGAGTAACTTAGCCAAATCAGAAGTACAGTTTATTCTTTTCTTTGCCAGCCTACCTTGATCATAGATCTCCTTTGCCACCACTGCCAAACCATAAAGTTTTACAGCAGAGTAAACATCTCCAGCATCCAAGGAGGCAGCATCTGCTTTATTTGCCTTAAAAACAACAGCAAAACCCTCAAAACAACTGTGTTTACAAGAGAACAAACAGAAGCTTCAAGACCACATTTTTTTGCTTGAGAAGCAGGAACCAGGGATTTTTACAAGCATTTGTTTTGTTTTTAATTGAACCCCTGCTACAAAGCATAGTGAAATGTTAGCAGTGAAGGCTGAGTTACCTTCAAAAAATACCAGTTCTTTTCCACTAACATCCTTTCTCCCTTCTTCTCTGGGTCTTCCATTCCAAAAATACAATTCTGATGTCAAGTGAAGAAAAAGGCAACTTTTGTTTCCTCCTACTGCTCCCCAAGACCCCAAATCCTGCTCAGAGTTCTCCTGGGTATAATCTTTCCCTAACCCAGGAAGCTGAACTGAATTTTATTTAAAATGGCTGCAGGACTGAATGACAACACAAAATAAACTATTCCCTGAACCAACAAGAAAGGTTTTCTTTGTTGTATTTTCCAGGTCAGATTTGGACTCCATTTTTTGAAGGCAACCAGGACTGAATATAAATGTTAATGAAATTATTCTACAGAAAATGCTTATCTTCCTTTTCTGTTAATGATTTTTGTCAAAGCATTTACCATTATGAAAACTCCATTTCAGGACTGCTCAATCACAAGAGATTACACTTACAAAAGGTCTGATGTGTAATTTTATTCAAAATTAAAATTTTTTAAATGAAAAAGACTTTGCTCATTACTTCAGAAAGGACTGATGAGGGGCTAAAAATAGTATGGAAGAAAGGGAAGATGAAATATTAATTAGAGCCAGAGTAGGACCAGAACACACAAACAAGGGAAATGCTCTGAGCAAGTTCTACTTTAATAGTTTGAGTTTATCCATTTATTTCCAAGCAGCTTTCTATCTTTCTTAGAGATTGCAAGGGCATTAGCTGGGATAAAATAGTACTTTTAGTGGGATGCTCATGGGATTTAACTCTTGCCTCTCAAGGGACCACGCACTTTGTCATACATGCAGCTCTGTCTTTTCGGTATCATTTTATTCTCCCAGAGATTCTGTTTGCCAGTTACTTTGTTAAAAGAGGATTTGGTCTCAAAATCAACTTTTAAAAAAAGTCCCTGTGAACTCACCCTGATTTTATCGATGCAGTCATAGGTGTTGTGGGCTCTGATGCAAGAGACCCTGGCAAAGGCAGTGGCAGTGGCAAGGGGCAGCACAGCCGAGAGCGCCTTAGCCAGCTCGGCACATTTCCTCTGCTCCAGGTCAGACAGGGTGCACCAGCGGAATTTCTTTCCTGGAGCATCAAAAAAAAAAGTCAACATTTGTAGGATTTCACAAAAAAACCCTTCAGTTTAAGACCTTGCAGTTACTGTAACTCGAGAGAATCTTTAGCCATGTAATGAAAGCCAGGAGTGAGTGCCCAGCAAACACCACAACAGCTCTACATTGTCATTTCCAGATGTTTCAGCATAGCATCAGACATTAGTACTCCACTTGTTTTGATGTTAATTCAGCACAATTCCAAGGAGAAACTGTTGTGGATTTAGAGGGGAACTGCTTGAAGTTCCCTGACACATTTTGACAGCGTTAATGAGCACTCAGATCCCATCTAGTCAAAGGAAGCAAACCTTCCCTGAATCACTAAGGATACACTGAGTGTATCAAGCAGCTTCCAAACTAACAGTGTCACCATCTGCTGATGATCAAAAAATACAGGGAAAATACAGGCAAATGGAAACCACAGGCACAGCTCAGGCTGCAACTTCTTTGCAGAGAAGAAAACAAAACCAAAGTACACACGAATTTGAAGGTCACCCCCCTCCAGAGGTCACCTTTCTCCCTCTCTGCATCAGCCTTACCTGAAGACAGCGATGAGAAGATGATCAGGACAATTAAAATCACTGTCCTCATGGTTACAGCAGTTCAGCAAGGATCTTCTCTCTACCCTGACTCTCTGCCTTCTCATACCACGAATTCCACAGTGGTGACCACAGCTTCTGGAAGATAACAAAGGGGTTTTAGGCATCAACAAGGATAAAGCAAGATCTAAGAAAACAAACAGTCAGGGGATGGTAGATCCTTGTATGCAAAGGAGAAAGGGACAGTGTCCTGTTGCTATCTGCAGATGGAAAAAATCTGTGCGTTTGCTGCTTTGTTTTGATCAGACACAGGAAGAGATGTAATCCTCTGCTTCAGAAATAAATTGTGCTTCTGCTTTTTCAAAATGGGTAGGACTTGAATCTATCTTACAACAAAGATGCCTAAAGCTCAGCGAATTGTCCAAACTACTATTATCTCTCTGCAGAACACTGAAGGGTCTTTCTTACTTTATTTTTTTCACCTGATAATGGTTTATCTACTGAGTAATTTTTAACAGAAAGTAATCCTATGCCTTCCCACAAAATCAGAACAGAGCTGTGACACTGCTGACTGTCTTGATCCTCTTCATTCCATTCCAGCACAGCAATGTCATCCAAACTGCCTTATTTCCCTGTTTTCTAACACTTAGCCTGGAGTATTATTACCTCTTAATTACTTTACAGCAGCCATCAACATCATTAATTCTATGGCAGAGGGAAAACACACAACACATTGTACATATATGCTATGTGTATTACATATATATTTTATATATACAGGCATACTGATCTGATGATGCATAAATTATTGCTCATATGGCTTCATCTTTCCTGTTCAAGAGATAATTAACTATTCCAAGAGTCTTGGAGGAAGAAAGCCTTTCTCCTAACTTTCTTTTCCTTCTTCATCTTACAGATTTCCTCAGTACCTTTTCTGCTTCATCTGTTTTTGCAGATACTTTTCCCAGATTTCTTTTGCTGCCTTATGTTCCCTTCCCTCTTGATTCCCAGTCATCATTCATCACTTGCTTCCTTCACACTCACATATTGCTGATCTCTGAGTTTCACAGGTTCCCTCTCCAGATCTGCAACATTTGTTGGGGTGTTAACTGATCTGATCACACAAGTTACAGAATCACAGGATGATTTGGATTGGAAGGGACTTCAAAGCTTATCTGGTTTCACCGCCTTCCCTGGGCAGGGACACCTTCCACTAGACCAGGTTGCTCCAAGCCCCGTCCATCCTCAGGCTTTTCTCATTCCTTCCTGCACTCCCTGAGCAAAAGTTCTGAAGCTCCAAGATCTCCATTCTCTCCTTTGCTACGAGAACAGCTGTGCTCTGAAATCCCCTGTGACTTGGCTCACCTGCACAGCCCAGCACAGCTCAGCACCCTGAGGGGAGTGTGTTTTATCCGTCAGCGAGTGCAGGCTTTATAATCTTACCAGATATTAAAAATCCCCCATAAGCGTAAAAACAAAACACATGATAAAAGTAATTTTGAAAAAAGTTAAATGTCCACATATTTACTTTGAATTCCAAGGAGGAAGATTAGATTAGGACAGGTCATTAATCACTTCAGCCTGTGACAATTATTATATACTATATTATATACTATAAACAAGTGTGTTACATTTAACCTCTGAATCACTTCTGAGTCAATTCTGGGGAAACTTGTCTGTCAGGCCCACCAGCTGTTAGACATCAAAGCTAATGGCTCTTGCAAGGCTTGTACCAAAGCACCCCACACTGTCAAACCCCACCTTTTTTGAAGTTTTACTTCCTGACAATCCTACCATTATGTACAGGATCCCAACAGTTCAGTCAGTTAATAGCATGAATGTTACATGAGGGCTGCATCTGGATTTCTGCTCAAATTTTACATATTTAATGTTTAAAGGCTTTCCTGCACATGTCTAAGATATTTTTACAGATACTATGCTGCTGCTTGAGTTATGTGAAAAATGCAGAATGACATGAAGGTGTTGTAGACCTCATTCAGGCCTGGTTAGGAAAACAAATAAACATCAATCACAATTTAAATTAATCAGGATTGCCTGAGGACCATGTCCTAAAGCTCTGAGGATGCAGAAACACAGGACTTTGGAATTCTTTTCCTGCTGATTCACCCTGTGAAACTACCCCCCCTGCCACCGTGGGAGAAAGGTAATTAGCTACTTCCCAGTAACGTAGCATCTATGTATCTATCTAGGTATGCATCTAAGAGTGTGGAAAAGCACATAATCTCTGTAAAATTCACTCTGTGCTGCCGGGATCCAGGCAAGGGACACCGGAGTAGGAACAGATGTTACTGCACTACCCTGCCAGACATCTCACTTGGAGGAACAGCACTGTGTCTGTCCCATGCAGAGTGTCCTCTCCCTAAAATTCCTGCCCTGACACCCCTGGTGCTCCCACACCTGCGGTCAAGAACTCAGCTGCCCCTCCACAGCAGCGCTGAGAAGGGAACCCTTCCTACCTCACCCACAACTCCCCAGCAGCGGCCCCTTCTCCAACCCTCTCTCCCTTTGGCCACAACCCCTTTGCGGAGCAGCCTGATCCCCACTCCACAGCCCCTCAGGGACCACCATGCTGTCCTCACACTAATCCCCCGGGAAATGTCCCCACACCACGTCCCCTCAGGGCCGGCCCTGTTCCCCACATCGCCTCAGCGACGGCCCCTTCCCCGCAGCCCCCGAGAACAGCCCTCATCCCACACCAAACCCCCTTTGGCGAACAGCGTCGCACCCGTGCCCCCATTCCGCTTCTCCCCTGAGGAAAGACCCCATCTCTGCACGCCGTACTCCCTCGGGGAATTCCAGGGAATCCCTCCCACCCCAGCTCTCCCTCGGGCTCTCCCTCGGGCTCCCCTCAGAGCGCCGGCCCCGCCCCGGCCCCGCCCTCCCGCGCGGGCCGCGGCACAGGCGGTGCGGGAAGATGGCGGCGCGGAGCAGGTACGGGCATGGCAGGGGGGTCGGGGCTGGTGCTGTCATTGTCACTGTCATTGTCGCTGTCCGGGGCCGGCAGCCCTGTGTGACAGCCGGCACCTCGCGAGCGGGGGGCGTGAGGAGCAGCTGGGGCGCTTGGCCGGCCTCCCCCCGGCCGGGGACCGCAGCTGCCCCCTCCTCTCCCTCCTCTCCCTCCTCTCCTTCCTCTCCCTCCTCTCCTTCCTCTCCCTCCTCTCCCGCTGACGTTTCCCTACCGCGGCGAACGCCGCTGTCTCCGCTGCCTCGGCCCCGTCCCTGGCATGTGCGAGGAGCCTTGTGCTCGTGCCCCGGGCTGGAAGGGAAGATAAGGGGTTTACGTATTTTAAGAAAGAGAAGCGTGTGGCCTTTGATAATTTTAACTCAGTTTCCCAGTCTGTAGGTGTCAGTGTGTAAGTGTTGAGTAGGAATGGGTCGATGGGGGGCAGTTGCAGCCCCTCGGGTTATGCAATCCCGGGGTAGGATGGCTCTGAGAAGGACCTGGCCGGGCACCGGCAGCCCTTTGCAGGAGATATCCTCTTACAGGTTGTGCTTTTTATAACAACTAAACTGATTAAAGAATAGCGTTTCTAGGCCACAGTTCTGTGTTCTTAGAACGCACAGCCCCCTTACTCCACCTTCTCTCTGAGAACCTGGAGCAAACCCCTCGTGCACAGAGCGCTGTCACCTCCGGCTCGGTGCCGGCAGCCGAGGGTTGTCTCTTGTCCAGAGACTGAAGTCACCGAGGAGCTGAATTAACGTGGAATTCCCTGGCAGTCCCCGCTCCGACAGCCTCCAGTCGGGTGGCAGAGGCGGGAGGTCAGCACTCGCCCAGACACTTGTACCCACCAAGGTCAGGCTGTCAGGAGCAGGGAAGGTGAGGCTATTTAGTCTTGTCATCTTTACCTAATTTTCGACAGATTTCAGTGTAAGGAGGACACTGATTTTCCCGTGTTGGGCGCTAGAAACAATGTGGGTAAGAGCTAAGGGTCTGCGGGGAGGTGTTGTGCCCTTGCTCAGTGCTGATCCAGCTGAGGAAGTGCCACGTCCCGGAATGCCCTGCCCTGCCCCGGCAGCAGGAACAGCTCCTGAGGCTCCTGTGGAGCCAAGACAGCTCATCTGTTCTGGCTGTGCATTTTTTATAGGCTGTCATGTATGAAGGCTAATAAATGTCTTGAATACTAATGCCTTGGGCTGTAGCTAGGTTTGAATATTTTTGCCTCCATTACTTTTTAGGGTTTGAAAACTTTTCTGGTAAATTGAAGTCTAATGCTACCTGGATTACTTCAGTGTTTGACTGCCTTCAAAGTAGCCCACAGGCTTCCAGCTTGCTGATGAGCAAGTGCTCCTTTTACCCCCGGTGGTTTAATATGTTGTAAAACAGGCCTTGTAATAGCCCAGATTGGTGTAGGTCTGGTGTGTGACCCAGCAGTGTCAGCTGACCTCGTTGTTCGTGACAAATGACGTGTTGCTCTGTAAAACATACAGGTTCTGCAGCACTGGGGACTCCCTGCCTTGCCAAGGAAATATTATCCTGGGAGATGATGTAGCACTGTGGCACGTTTAGCACCTGCTGACAGGAATCTGGGGTTTGGGGAGGGTTTGTCCTGTCACATTTGGGTTACCATGAAGGTAGAGTGAGCTGTTCCACCCCATTGCCATGGGACAGGTGAACACTGCAGCTCTTTGTCCTTGGTTAATGGTAAATCACTGTTAGCAAGTGTCTGTAGTACCATTATGTGAATTCTAGACAAGAAATCTGCTATTTGTAGAATCGTCTTCAAAATAAAGGGATCATGTCTGTTTGTAACTCAGTAGATACCTGAAGTTAATTGTTGAAATTCTTTATAATCACTTCCTGGGATTGAATGGCCCCAAATGATGCAATAGCTTGTAAGCTAATGAAGTAACTCTCAGTGTATATCTGATCAGGAGCAGATGAAAGGCCAGAGGGCCAAATGAAGACATCCCAGCTGTGCTATTGCATCTCAGGAACAAGTGGGTTGCCCAAAGACCTGCCAGGCCTGGTTATTCCCAAGGACTTGAGCCTGTTGGTGTGGGAATGCTGCCCCTCTCCCCTCTGTGATCCTGCCTGACAGCAGGATGGGCTCTTGCCAGGCCACAGTCTAGTACTTGTTTAAACCTGCTTATTTACAGGCTTTGAGCAGTTCTTGTACAACTGGATGGCTCCTTTTCAGATTTATTAGAAACATGAAAAGAAATATATAATATTAAACATAAGAAAAGTCCTGGTTTAACCTTTTCCCTATGGTGGGCAGTTCCAAGTGTATTTTCTGTGTTTTCAGAGGGGCAGAACCACTCTCACTGCAAACAGAAGGGTAAGGCAAATTCTTAAGAAGAGCTGCTGTACCTGGCAGCCTTTTTACTTTTCCAGCTACACCATTGGTCTAGCAAATACCATTACTGCTTCATAAAATATACAGCTTTTCCAGGTATTCCTTCCCCCCCCCCCAGGATGGTGAGGAAAAAGGTACCTGAACCAAATCATGTCTCTTTAGATAGTTGCTGTTTGTTATAGGAGGTTCCAAATGACACACTTGAGTAGCACCCCGGTGGAGATGGAATAATCCCAAGTGCTAAACAATCATTATAAAATTTACCACTCCATTTGCAAGCAGGGTTTGTTTTGATCAGCATCTGCCCCTCATAAACATTACCTTGGGATGGCAGTGCATGTTATGTCAGGAGCTTCTGACTGTGAGATTGTCACTGCCCTGAGCTGCTGACATTTGCATTATTGAATATCTGTGCTTAAGCAGCTCTTGCTGTTTGTTGTTTGCAGTTTGGTGTGGAGCTGTGCCCTCCTGGTCCAGAAGAACCTGTGTGTCAGAGCTGGGGTCCTGGGGAAGAGGCCTCCTTCCAGGACATTTTTCAGTGGTAAGTGATGGCTTGTGCCTACCAGGGCTTTTAAATTCAGGGTTACTCCAGCTTAAGCAAATTATGGTCTCACAGTGGGCAATATGAATTTCTTGAAATAAAAGCAGAAGTGGGAGTGCAGCACCAGAGAACAGCTTATGGCATTTCCACAGATACAAGCTTGCAAATTGTGTTTTACTCCTCTGGTGTTATGTTCTCCAGATGGTAAAAGAAGTGTATTTACTTCTTTCATAAGTTTCATTATGAGCTGTTATTAATTGCTTTTAAGCTTTTCAAAACATCTCTTTTTTTTTCCTAGTGAAGATGATCCCTTTATAGCAAATTAAAACCCATTACCCATAGTTTTATTTTTCTTAATTTCTGCACATTAGTTGGTTTTCTGAGGCGTCTACAGTTCAGAAATTCCTTTTTTAAAGACACAATATAGCTTACCAGAGTGATTCATGTTAGGAAAATGTTTTTATATTTAAAACCTCCTGCTTTAATGAACTCACAGGGAGCAGGCCAGGGGTGCCTGGGTCCTTGTTTTGTTGGACAAGATCATGGAGGGGACCTGGAAGAGTCTGTGGATGTTGGCTGAGAGGTCTTTGTAGTAGCACAGTCCTGAATAAAGAACCTGCCAGCTGAAATGATTTCTGTTCTCAGTACACAAGCCAAGGGAATAATGATAGACATGAGGTGACACCGAGAAGGGCATCACCAAACTCTCTATGTAATGCATAACAGAAAGCAACATACTCATATTTAGAATATTCAGCTGTTTTACCTGCTTTGTAGTGCAGCTCCTACCAGCTGTTCACCTCAAAAAGCCTGAGGAATTCTGACTTCATCAGTTTATCAGGCCTGTAAGAAAGAAAGCTTATAAATATCATTTTATATTTCAATCTGTACTTGTAATTTTAATAAATCAGGAAATCAGAGTAGGTTTACGTGAAATGCTTAAGAGTTGGTTAAAATAGTACTTGCACTCAGAGTTCCTCTGGCTGGGTAATGCTGGAAGAGCAGATATTATTTGTTTTTAAGAAATATTTGTTTGTGAACTTGTAGTATATGCATTGTCATATATTAATATCATAACTGCATAGGGTCTTCAGTGTTTGTTTCCTTGCCAGCTGAGCTATTGATCCCACTTTCTATATCCATTTTTTTTGTTAACTTGCCTGTCCAAATCTGTCTGGCATGTCATATATGGATATTTCATTATTGAAAAAGATGCTTACACAGATGAATAGAAACAGCAGCTCTTTGTTGTCTAGAAATCCAAGATAGTCATTGCAGAAGAAACCTGGGAAGCTGAGACACATCGTGCAAAGTTGTTCATCACGTGGAAGAAAAGGTCGTTCTAGTCCAAGCTAGCTTTGAGTTTTGAACAAATCAAACTTTTAGCCAGTCATTTTCTAATTCATTGCGATTTCAGACTGATTTGCATGTAAATCTAGATGACTTGCACGTGATGTCATTAGAAAGAAAAGATAACTCCTTAGTTTTCTCTCTGCCCCTTGTAACAGCCTCCTCCAAGTGTGTGTGTCCTTTCCTAGAAAGAATTCTTAATTAGGTCAGAGTAATGAAGCAGCACTTCTGACTGCAGAAACCAGAGCACATCTGCCTTCTGCACTTTGCTTTTTCATCCTGCTTTTTTCGATGTTTCTGAGGGAATGTGTCTTTTTCACCTGTTCCAGAGCAGGAACTGGTTATTTTCTTTTCATTCTCTTTGCTGACTATACTTGATGCCTGAGAGAATTCTGAAACAGATTATCTGTCAGGGATTCAGATTTAGGGTAGTATCTAAAAATGTTACTAGCACATCAACAGTCCTGCACCTTTTCCCTCTTGTCCCGGACTTGTTTCTAGTGGTTTATGTGCCAAGACATGAGTTTTCCACACACTCTCGTGCTGCTTCCCAGGGAGCTGCAGCAGCATCAGCACGATGTTCAGCTGCCACCTGAGCAGGGCCAGCTGCCTGAACAGGAATTTGTTTCAGAATCAGTTACCAGTGGCTTTGCCTCAGAATTTCTAAACTTGTGTGAAATTCATTCATGTCTGAAAGGTGTGGAATTTTGTTTTGTTGGGGCACAAGCAGCAGAGTGCTGGATGCCTGTGAATCGAACAGTCACAGAGGTGCTGTTTCATTAACAGGGAGATGGGGAAAAGTCCACTCCTCATTTATCAGGAGATAAAGTTGTGTTTGCCGTGGCTCGTGGAACACAAATGGTTTGGTCTCCAGCACAGGCAGAGAAACTTCACATCGGTGCAGTCAAGAGGCTCTTGGGGCAGAAACTTCCCTGGATTCAAACCCAAGAGCCGTTCCCCCTGAGGGGGTTTGGTTTGGGAATTTGCTGAGCTCTGCTGAAACAGCTGAGCAGCTTTGCTAACTCAGAACCAGGGATGTGGTGGAAGGGAGTTAAAGGCTTTAGGGCTCAGGAGTGTGGTTGGACTGTGTACAGACATTTCTGTTGAAACACTGATGCAAAGTTGAAAGGTTGTAGAGTCTGTAAACTCAAATAAGTCTGTCTTCATAAACGTTTAGCTGTCCTGAATGATCCCTCTCCTTTACTGAGCATTGTTCCTTAGGAAAGAATAATTTTTAGAATCTTTACTGTAACTGTAGTTGTTGTCTTGTTTGTTTACTGAGTTTGGGTTTTAGATTCTTTTTTCTAAGTAAGAACAGAGCTGATTTTGTATTATGTTGTATTTTAGGACACATAATTTAAGCGGTGTTTTAAATCACAGATGTAGGAAAGAAATTATCCAAAAATATTACTTTGTTAAAACAAAATGTGAACAAGAATTACTTTTATTGGCCATCTTTTTGCAGCATCATGGCTGAATGCTTCTAATCAAAGCTACTACTTGGAACTAAAGCTTCCCAGACTGCAAAACAATTGTGCTTTGTCCCTGTGCGTGCCTAGAAATGGAGGTGGTGTTTAGTGAATTCTTTTTGTTGTTAATGCAGCCTTTCATAGTCAAACCCTAAGCCTGACTTCGCTGGAGGAAGATTTAGGGTTTGATTCTGGCTCACCCTGTTCATGATTGTTGTGGAAATGACTCCAGTCAGGATCAGAATCGGTTCCTCTGGGCCTTTTCTGTCAGGTAATGACTTGTACTCACTGCTGAGAAGTTGGGACTGACTGTTAGACAGGTTGGAGCAGCACATTCCAATGCTGATTTAGCCCTGAACAGGTTGGTTTTCTCTGCTTTGGAAGGGAAGCACTCCCCTGGTTGTGCAGGCCCTGTGCTTGGGCTGTGGCTCAGTGCTCTTGTTCCTCAGTGACTGGAGACTGGTGTGATGCAGGAGGAGCTTGGGAGTTACTCTGTGGAAAACAGACATAATACTACGTGTCTTTTTTATTTTTTTTTCCCGTGGTGACCTGTATTACAGCAGGAATGGGACTGTTTCCCTGCTTACCAGGAAAACTGACACCTTACTAAAGCAGGTCATCATTTCCTTCCTTCTTCCAGTTAGCTGGAATTCTGGGGATCTGACTGGAATGGAAGCTTTAATGACTCAGAAGCACCAAGTACTTCACATTAATACAGCCTGTTCCCCAGCAACTGATTATTCTGCATAATACCAACATTCTCACGGTTGGAAAGTAGGATGGTGCTGTCAGACACTTGTTTTATGTATTTCTCCCTGGGGCTTTCAGGGAGTGCATGTTATATATTTTGGGGAGAAGAATGTTGGAAGCATGTGGGGTGGGGGATGAGGTTAAAGCCACTGATGACCCCTTAGTGTTGGTCAGCTGGGTTTCAGTAACTTGCTAAGCTGCAGTAACATCCCTTCTGTGTCCCAGAGTTCTTTCCTGAGCTCATTTTCATCCCCTGAGCTCACAGCCCTCACTGCACAGAACTGCTTTGTGTTTACTGGGTAGCTGTTCTCTCCTGAGGTCTGTGTTTGTGTTGCAGGCAGGAGGAAGCTCCACACTGCTCCGCTGGGACAAGTGTTCCGCCTGCGCCCCTTCCACGTCCTGGTAGCTACAGGTGGAGGATATGCAGGATACAGAAAATATGAGGATTACAAGGTGGAACAGCTGGAGAAGAGGGGCATAGAGGTGCCTGTGAGGCTTGCAAGTGACTGGGAGGTAAGAAACTTGGGGCAGTTTTGATGCAAAGCTCCTTGGCTTCCATTCCAACAGGGGAATGTTGAGTTCGTCCTCTACTGCCAATGCCTCGTGGAACTAAAGTTTCTGTCACTTAAAGAACCCCTTTTGGCTGAAGTGGTGATACATTAGGAACTGCCAGTGACTCCTCCATCTTTTACTGTGGCTGACACAATATATACTTTACAAGGAGATGGAATTAATGCCTGGTTAATAAAAATCTACCTGTTTCCATGATGAATGTACAGCAAGACCATTTTCCATAGGTAACACCTGGGTCTGTAGTGCCTTCTGCTGATCCTGAGGGATTTTTGCCTTCTCCTTCTGGATTCCAAGGAGTTTAGAAATTACTGTGGGATTGCAGTGTGTGTATCAGATTCCCAGGTCAAATACCCACTGCAGCATTGCAGTAAGAAATACTTCATGACTTCCTCTGACTGTTGTATCACCTCTGAAGTATTAATTTACAACTCCATGTTAAGAGTTGTGTTTGTGGTTTTCTTCCACAAGTTTAAAGTGTTTAAAATATATATGATGTTCTTCCAAACAGCCAGGTGAGTGCCTGTTGCAGTGCCATTTCTGAAGGGAAGGAGTTAAAAATTCTAGGACTGTAAGGAGATGCCTTGGTGTGACCTTTAGCATCCCATTTCTTTGCATTCCTGAGCACACTGCCTGTGTGAGTGAGTTGGCCACGTGCCTGGGGGGGACTGGACTGGAATCTCTAAATTCATTTCATTAGAGACCCAAATCAGATATGGCCCAGACAGTGCAGATGCCAGCAGCTCAGGCTGTGATAGCTCCTGAGAAATCTGTCTGTAAGTCTCTCCTCTGTATATTCGTATATTCTTTTTCTGCTGATGCTTGTTTCAAACAGGTTCTGATTAAAAAGGAACTGGTAAGTGTCCATGGAGTATTCATGTAACGAGGCAATGTCAGTCCAATTTTGACACTCAAAAACAAATATTCTTTTGTTATTGTTCATACTTTTAGGTTGGAAATTAGTTCTCTCATTAAATTTGCTTTTTTTCATTACTGATATGCTGGTTTGTTGTTATTTGGTGAAGCTGTGAGTACTGCTTTTGATGGAACAGCTCTAAAGGATTTGGTTTTTAGAGTGGGGAATCAAACAGAGTTTCAAACTGATAGGCAGGGCCCCAAATGCAGCAGATCCCAGTAGGAGGCACTAACAAGATGTCCCAGTCCTTCCCGATGTGCTTCAGTTCTGTTGAATGCTTCTGTAGGAGGGAAAGGAAGCTTGACAGTTAGGAGGAAAAAGAGAAACTGTTCGGATGTTGTTAGAAATACTCCAAACAATGAAGGATTCAAGAAAAATAAGAGCTGCATTGTTCCTTTATATGGGAGAGTGGAGTGTCCTTTTTGCTGACCTATCAATTTCCATTCTTCTGAGTTGTTGCATCACTGGAGGCACACTTAGGAATGTGGCAGAGGGGTGTTGTCGTGTTTTTAGGGCAGAATAAGCCTTTGCAAAGGCAAAAAGAGACCAAGTGTGATTGAATGGGCTGTGAAAGAGTAATGCAGAACAAGAAGCTGCTGCTCGTGCCCTCCCTGCCGAGCCTGCCACTCAAGTTCTGATTCCACAGTGCCAGTCTGGTGTTCCTGTGGGAATAAGGACCATCTCCCACCTGCCAGCTCTGTGTGTAAGGCAGATCCTCTGCTTCTGAGCAGAAGACAGGGATGAAATGGGTAATCCTCACCCTGCTGTGCAGGCAGGGAAGCTCTTCC